AGATTACGGGATAAGAAAAGACGCCAGATTTCTATAGAGTGAGAGATTATTATTATCTACGGAGCAATCCACCGTGGTTCTGTGGGACCTACTACACTGCTTTAAATCAGGAAAATTTGTTTTGAAACTAACACGCGCTACAACAGCGCGTGAAGTGTTTGCCTTTTTCTTGTGTGTAGCGCGTGAGGTATTAACATTTTTTTTTTTTTTTTGCAGAAGGATCTAGAAACCCTACGGGTATCGACTATATAAACCTTGCTTCTCCTTCACTAAGCAGCCTCGCTCTTTTTCGATTAAGAGAGAAAAAAAAAAACCCTAGTTTCGTTTTCCTTCTTCTGGTTCTTTGACTTCCGAAGCTTGAAAGAACCCTAGATTCGCCGCGATTACGATGTCGGACGTCGAGACGTTTGCCTTCCAGGCTGAGATCAACCAGCTTCTCTCCCTTATTATCAATACCTTTTACAGCAACAAGGAGATCTTCCTTCGTGAACTCATCAGTAACTCCTCCGATGTGCGTCTCTCTCTCTTTCTCTTTTCGCCTTTAGGTTATTTGTTCCGTGTTGCTTGACTCCGATTAGTTTTACGGGTAGATCCATTGATATGTTTTGATGTGGATTGGTGAATCTGTGCTGGGTAGGGTTACGATTTCACTTAATGAAGTAGATATGTAATATGATTAGCATCTAGTTTACAGGGATGTTTATCATTATGATTTACGTTACTAATCTGTTGCACTTAATCCAAATTGTTGAGTATTAGAGTTTAGTATCCGTACTCCTTCCCCTGTTTGGTAGATCTTACGCTTTCGTGTTTAGCTTCAATTTATAGATCTCTTGTTTAATCTGATTAGGTTAATAAGGATGGATCTGTTGTATATTTTAAATTGGAAGCTTGTTTGGTTTCGTGGTTTATATGGTTGTTGTTCTGATTTTGCTTTCTGTATTGAACTAATAAGCTTTCGTTTCTTGTTTATAGGCTTTGGACAAGATTAGATTCGAGTCTTTGACTGACAAGAGCAAGCTCGATGGTCAGCCAGAGCTCTTCATTCACATCATCCCAGACAAGAGCAACAACACCTTGACCATCATCGATAGTGGTGTTGGGATGACCAAGGCTGGTATGTAATGTTTTCTATTCAGCAGCAATTCTCTTTTATTGCTCTTAATACTGTTAGCTGATACTCGATACTCTCTCTTTTGGTTGTATACAGATTTGGTCAACAACCTGGGTACAATTGCCAGGTCTGGAACCAAGGAGTTCATGGAGGCTTTGGCCGCTGGTGCTGATGTCAGCATGATTGGTCAGTTTGGTGTTGGTTTCTACTCTGCTTACTTGGTTGCTGAGAAGGTTGTTGTCATCACCAAGCACAATGATGATGAGCAGTATGTGTGGGAGTCCCAGGCCGGAGGATCCTTCACTGTCACCAGGGACACCTCTGGTGAGAACCTTGGCAGGGGTACCAAGATGACCCTTTACCTTAAGGAAGACCAGCTTGAGTACCTTGAAGAGCGCCGTCTTAAGGATTTGGTTAAGAAGCACTCTGAGTTCATCAGCTACCCGATCTCTCTTTGGGTTGAGAAGACCATTGAGAAGGAGATTTCT